TAATTCAGTAAGGGAATTAATTGAATAGACAGTTCCTGATGAACTAAATTCACTTGTTTCTTTTGGACATGGAAGGTATCATTTTTCTGTATCTAAGCTTTTTAGCACGGTTTTCTCTGATGACACAGGTAGAATTTTTCTGTCCTAAAATATGATTTTATTCAGTAAAGTATAGATTAGGAAATCAAAGTCTTCACTTGGCTAGTGAATTTTTCTTTTATATTACTCTGCTTTTATGGAAAGAAGTAAATAAGAAGAAACCAAGCAATTTCCAAAAGTAATCTCCCAGTGTATATCCCAGCTTCAGCCAAGATTTAGTCAATATCAACTACTTTGGAAGATCTTACCATTAGAATCAAGAGTGCAGAAATACTGTGTAATTCTAAATGATAGTAGCAAGATTCAATCAGGTCCTGTCTACTGTGCTTACTAAGGCAGAAATCTATGGACACACCTTTTAAAAAGGTTAAAGAATATGTATTAAACAAATAAAAATTCTGGTGTAACAGTTCCCTAAACCAGAAAATTCAATTAATCAGAATATTTCATTCCTGAGCAGTCTGGTTAATCAAAAATATTACTTTTTACTGTAAACTCTTGATTAATGAACTTAAAAATCTCAAAGGCTTAGACATCAATAGAGTTGAGGAATTAAATGTACTCCCTTCCTCTATAAGAAAAAATAACATTTTATGTATAATTGATGGAAATCATGCCTGCTCAACATTTCCAGTTAAATAGAAAAAACACAAAAGCACTGGCAAAGTATCTGCCTCAGGTTTAATATATATGTATTTGTATTTCTGCACCTGGTCTTGGCACACAAGATGACTGTCTCAGTAGCCAAAGACTTTATGTGTTTGCATCCCCAGCTACGTAATATACTCTATTAAATTGGCTGGAGTTTATATTAGGTGTGGATAGGAGGAAATGCCATTCTGCTCAGTGAACTGATCATAACCTCTGCTGTATTAGGAGAGAGAGAAGAGTGCTTGCTTTCAAAATGCAGGGAATACTTTCAGACTTTCTGGCTTCTGCTGATGCAGATCTTGGGTAATTTTTTGACATACAAGAAAAACATGTGGGAGCGCCTCACATGTCCTCTTGGCCATAGTATTAAGCCCCTTTACAAAGTTTTACCATGTATTTCTGAAATTGTTCAAACCTTGGATGAAAAACATCTAGGTTGTTGTCATGTTGTGTCTACATTAATTATAATACTCAAAAGATAAAACATAAAAACTTGAGCATTATTTTTACACCTTCTCTGCAAACAAAAAACTTGCTAAATTCTGAAATTTTATTCACAATTATAATGACATATATTCTACTCAACATTTTTCAGCTGTTGTTGAAGCAAACAAAATGATAATTATTTTTTTTCCTATTTATTTATTTATTTATTTATTTATTTATTTATTTATTTATTTTACAAATAGTTTATTGTCAAATTAGTTTCTACATAACACTCAGTGCTCATCCCCAAAGTGCCCTCCTTCATGCCCTTCCCCCCCTCCCCCCCACATCCATCAGTCCTCAGTTTTTGTCAGCATTCAAGAGTCTCTCATGGTTTGCCTCTCTCCCTTTCCCCCACCATTTCCGCCCTTCTTCTCCCCCTTGGTCCTCCGTCAAGTTCCTCCTAATCCTCCTATACGTGCAAACATATGGTATTTGTCCTTCTCTGCCTGACTTATTTCGCTCAGCATAACACCCTCAAGGTCCATCCATGTTGCTACACATGGCCAGATTTCATTGTTTCTCACGAGGGAATTTTTGTAATTTACCTCATAGTTATAAGGTGCCAAGCCCAAGGCAGGAAGTAAAGGGGCACTCATAGGTCTGGTTGAACAAGACTTGGAATCTTTTTGGCCACTCTTAGAAAATAAGCCCTGAAATAGAACAGTGCTACCAGTCCCCAGTAGAACTTTGGCCTTCTTCTGCTACCTTAGTCTCAGGCAGTCTGCCTAAGAGGGGACACTGTATGTAATCAGTCTGCAACAAAGTGCTGAGGACTCATTCTGTGCTCTGTCTCTATACTAGGGGTTGTGGACAATGCAAGGTGTCCTGGATCCTGCCCTTCAAAAGGTTATGACTGAGTTGAATCAAGCTGTAAGATAAGACAAATACACATTAAAAAACCTTAAGGTGTGTATGAAAAAGTGTTAAATTATACAGTATAGACTATACTTCTCTCAACTTCCAACTACCTAGCCCTAACCTGGAAGCTTTCTTCTAAGAGGCTCAGAGGACATATGATCTCATTTACTCTCATTGGCTCCATGTGAAATAAGGGAAGGAAGGGGTATTCCTCTTTTACAGTTTAAAAAAAAAATGATTTATATCCCAGGGATATAAATTGGGAATTGGCCACATAACTGTGGAGCTCCCAGCAGTCCTATGTTCCTCCCAAGGTTCCCTTCCTATCACACACTTTACACTGCTCATTGTAACTTTCTGAAGCACAATTCTGACAATGTTACTACTATGCTTAAAAACCTTCATAGTATTCCCTGAGTGAAATAAGTCAGGCAGAGAAGGACAAATATCATATGTTTGCACGTATAGGAGGATTAGGTGGAACTTGACGGAGGAACAAGGGGGAGAAGAAGGGCGGAAATGGTGGGGGAAAGGGAGAGAGGCAAACCATGAGAGACTCTTGAATGCTGACAAAAACTGAGGACTGATGGATGTGGGGGGTGGGGGGGGATGGGCATGGAGGAGGACACTTGTGGGGATGAGCACTGAGTGTTATGTGGAAACTAATTTGACAATAAACTATTTGTAAAAAAACAAAACAAAACAAAACAAAAAAAACCCTTCAATGAGTGCACCTGCCTATGAGAAAAAAGATCCTTTCTTAGAAGAGTATGCAAGGCCTTTCATAGTCTTGTCCCTGCCTACTTCTCACCATTCCCCTCAACAACTTAACCACATTAAACTTTTCCCTCTATCTCAAACATAATATATTTGTTAAGTCTCTGGGGCTTTGCACATATGTAGTCTTGGATGTTGAATGACTTCCATCCCCTCTGACAACCTCTTACCCATCCTTTAAGATCTGGCTGGGAAGACGGCCCTTGAAGTTCCACCTTCCTTTCCCAGGCAAAGAAAGTTGATTCCTTTTTTGTACTCTGGAAGTTTAGTCAAACCTCTACCATAGTACTTATCAAACTGTCTTGCAATGATTACTTCCTATACTTGTCTCCTCCACAAGACTATAAATGCTTTAAGAACAAGGACTGTATCTCTTATTCATCTTTATACTTTCAATAGCTAGCACAGTGCTTGGCACATGGTGAGTTCTGAAAAGGAACATTTTTTTTTTTGTTTTAGAGAATTTATGGAATGATACAATGCCTTAAGAATGGAGAAAAGTATTCATATTATTTACCTTGAATAAAAGAGAAAAATAATGTTCAGATTATACATACAAATTCAAATGTGATAAACTAGAAAAACATTGGACTAATAATCGGGCTGATCAGTACCCATATTAGGGTCCATGACTCATTGTTTCCCTCCCCCCACCCAAAACAAACAAACAAATAGAGAAACAAAGCATGGATTTAGGCAGAAGCTGGTCCTGGATCTAGAGACATGTCATTAGCTTTTTTTTTTTAATTTTAATATGTGATAAATCAGGGAGCTTTGCATTAAATATATCCAAAAAATAAAGTTAGATGTGGCAGTTTTGTTTGGTAGACACACGGAAAATTGAAATGACTTGAATCAATTGGCAAAGTGGGTGGATATCACTCTGGTGAAATTTAATATTGAAACCAAGAAGGTAATTCACTGATGTGAAACAAAGAAGGAGAGTGGAAGATATATGGTAAGGTCATATTTGAAGTGGTTCTGAGTACTGCAGCACAGGATTCAGTGGGACTGATAGGAGACTGCACAGATCATCTTGATGTGTAGCATCAAGATAAGTCTATGAAATAAACATCTTATTTAACTCATGGCAAGTGCCTCAAACCAATGGACAGGCTTTAAATGTAGAAAGAATCATTTGGTGGTACATTTGTCTTTGTAGTGACAAAACATATGCACAAGTGGTGATTGCTGTCAGTAGTGTCATCTTTAAATACTGAAGACAGAGATATAAAAACAGTGTGATGGAACATCAAGATATGCATGTTCAGGCATAGGTCTGATCTATAGCTCATTTTAAGTAAACTCTATGCCCAATTTGGGGTTTGAATTTACAACCCTGAGACCAAAGGTCACATGCTCTACTCACTGAACCAGCCAGGTGCCCTAGATCTTTAGTTTTCAAACTTCTTTGAAGCGGCAGACTGTTTGTTTTTTCAAGTGAAATTTTATGTGGAATCCCAATATAGAAAACAAACAAAATCAAGACTTCTCTGGCTAAAGCATGAGTAGGGGTGGACACTTGAGGGGTCCAGAACTCTGTATATTTAGCTACCCCTTTACTTCCTGTAGTTGCCACTGAGGCATTTTATGGAATCCTGGGATAGATACTGTGGAATGGTTTCTATATGGAGAGAGCAGTTAGATGACTTCTAGTTCTGACTCTCTAATATTCAAGATCAGTCAGGAAATCAGGATTTTATTACACTTATGGAAAAGTCCAGCAGAGGACAATACAAATAACTAAGGGTTTGAGAAATAATCCAAGTGAATACTCATTGGGTGTAGGTAACAAAAGAGGTTTTTTCCCTTCCTTCCCCCCTCAGCATATAAATTTGTATTCAGCACTCACTCTGTTCTATACTCTGGGAATAAAGAGGAACAGATAATAACCTATTCTCAAAGACTTCACAGTGCGTGTATGAGGATATGTGGAAGCAGATGAAAAATACAAAAACAAACAAGAAAACAGCATACTGTGACGAGCAACGTTACAAAAATAACACACAGTAATATGATGAAGAATAACAGTATGTGTGGAGGGCTACTTCAGATAGGTTGGTCAGGAAAGATTTTCTGAATAGGTGATATTTAGACAAAGACCTGAAAAGTGAAACAAAACTCACCCATACTGAGATGGAGAAGTCTTCCAGGCAGAGAGAGCAGCATTGCAAAAGCTCTGAGGCAGGAAAGAACTTCCTTGGCCTATTTGAGAAGCTGAAAGGCCAGTGTGGCTGGAACACAGTTAATGAAGGAGAGTGGTACAAGATGAGTTCTGATGGGACCAAATCACAGGGGCCATCACAAGGAGTTTGGACTTCATTCTTAGTGAGATAAGAAGCCTGTGGAGGGTTTTGAGCAAAGGAGGGGTAGGATCTTATTTAAACTATACTTTATTCTATGAAGGGATGTTGTATAGGTGAACACAAGGAAAATGGGCTAAACTGCATCAGGAAAAATTTGGTAACATGGAGGAAATTTGGTAAGAATTGTTGCCAAGAAAGGTTGAAGAGTTTTATTTAATGGTACAAAGCCAGTTTCTTGGCATGATTTAACAAGCAGCCAGAAAGATAATTTCTTTAGCCTTCTTACAGCTGTCGGCTTTGACAATTTACCCTTAGTGTCACAGTCACTGGGAGAGCTGAGGCTTGTATTTAAGTGTCCTCTCAATGCTCCTTTCACTAAATTAATTGCTTCTAAATTGCTTACAGCAAAGCAGTGAAAGATGGCAATAGGCAGAAATACAGTACTTCCTTTTTAAAAGACTCCCGAAAATGTGATTTTTCTCTGTAAAAACCTACCTTAGTACTTACTTATGAGTTAGTTTACCATGGTAAGCTAACTTAGCCGGTTTCCTCCTAACATCTGAACCTCAGATCCCAACCTTAAACCAGTCTGACCACCTGTTTTTTCTGTTTCCCAAAGCTAGGATGGCCGAGTACTACTGGAACAAACCATGTAACTGCAGATGTACACCATTACACATTTATGGTTCCCAACCACAGCTGGGCATTTAACGCTGGTCAGTAGTCATTTACTTCTCTCTAGTTGTCTCTTTCTTAGGCCTTACAATGGATACTACAAACTCACTAAGACCCAAGACCTCCTGATCAAAATTCCATCACATTCAAAATAAAACCCAACATCCTACCATGGTCCACAAGGCCTTGCATGATGTGGCCTTTACCGATTTCTCTGTCCCTATTACTGACTTTACTCCAGTGGCATTGGCCTTCTTGCTGTTCCTAAGAATATCAAATGGATAATGGGTGTGCATCTGCAGTTACATGATTTGCTTTTGAGAAACTGCCAAATTGTTTTCCAAAGTGGCTCTATCATGTTACATTCCCACCAGCAATGTATGAAGGTTCTCATTTCGCCTGTCCTCATGTGCATTTGTCATTATCTGTTTGATTGTAGACATCCTAGTGGGTGTGAAATGGTATCTTATTGTAGTTTTGGTTTGTACTTTCTTAATGACCAATGATGTTGAACATCTTTCCATGTGCTCATTGGCCATTTGTACATCTTCTTTGGATAAACATCCATTCAAATCCTTTGCCCGTATTTTAACTGGGCTATTTGTCTCTATTGCTGAGTTGGAATGGTTCTTTATGTATTCTGGATACAAGCCTTTGATCAGATACAGGCATACTTGTTTTATTGTGCTTTACTTTATTGTGCTCCACAGATAATGCATTTTTTATAAATAGAAGGCTTGTGGAAATAGCAAGAGAACTAGAATTAGAAGTGGATCCTGAAGATGTGACTGAATGGCTGTGATCTCATGATAAAACTTTAATGGATGAGCAAAGAGAGTGGTTTCTTGAGAGAATCTACTGGTGAAGATGCTGTGAAGATTGTTGAAATGACAACAAAGGATTTAGAATATTACAGAAACTTAGTTGATAAAGCAGTGGCAGGTTTTGAGAGGATTGACTCTAATTTTGAAACAAGTTCCACTGTGGTTAAAATGCTATCAAACAGCCTCAAATGCTAGAGAAATCATTGAAAGGAAGAGTCCATAGATGTGGCAAACTTCATCATTGTCTTACTTTGAGAAATTGCCATAGCCACCCGAACCTACAGCAATGACCACCCTGATCAGCCAGTGGCCAACAACATTGAGGCAAAACCCTTCACCAGCAAAAAAGATTATGACTCACTGAAAACTAAGATGATGGTTAGAATTTTTTAGCAATAATGTATTTTAAAATTAAATATATACATGTTTTCAGACATAATGTTATTGCAAACTTGGTAGACTACAGTATAAACATACATTTTATATGCACTGGGGCACCAAAAAATTCATTTGACTCACTTTATTGTGATATTTGCATTGTTGCAGTGGTCTGGAACTGAAGCTGCAATACCTCTAAGATATGCCTGTACATGATTTGCAAATGTTTTCTCTCATTCTATTGCTTGTCATTTCACTTTCTTGATGGCGTTCTTTGAATCCCTGAAGAATTTAACTCTGGGGAAGTCCAATTTATTTATTTTTTTCTTTTGTTGCTTGTGCTTTTGGTAATATATCTAAAAGGCTTTGTCTAAGCCAAGGTTATGATGATTTACTTCTATGCTTTCTTGTAAGAGTTGTATAGTTTCAGCTCTTACATTTAGATCTGTGGTCTATTTTAAACGAAGTGTTATGTATGGTACAAAGTAGAGGTCCAAATTCATTCTTTTGCATGTGGATCCAGCTGTCCCAGCACCATTTGTTGAAAAGACTATTCTTTCCCTATTGAATGGTATTAGTACCTTCATCAAAAATGAATTGACCATAAATGTGAGGATTTATTTCTGGACTCTCCAATTCCATTAATCTATATGTCTATCCTTATGCCAGCACCACACTGTTCTGATTATAGTATGAATCCTCCAACTTTGTTCTTTCTTAAGATTGTTTTGGCTTTCTGTAGGTCTCCTGCAATTCTATATGAATTTTAGGATCAGCTGGTCAATTTCTACAAAAAGCTACCTTGGATTTTGGTAGGAATGATGTTGAATCTGTAGATCAACTTTGGAGTATTGTCATCTTAACAATATTAAGTTTTCTGATCAATGAACATGGGTTCCCACAGTTATAAGGAACTAATACATAACAGACAATTTTAAATGTGAGATCAAATAAAATTTTTCAGCTCTATTAAAGTAAAATTTAGATACCATAAACTTTACCCATATTCAGTATACAATTCAATGATTTTTAATAAATTTAGTAAGTTAGGCAGCCACCACCATAATCTAGTTTTAGAACATTTTTATCCCTCCAATAAGATTCCTCATACGTGTTATAGTTAATCCCTGTTCTTACCCCCAGATCCAGGCAACTACTAATCTACTCTCTGTATAGATTTGTCTTTCTGAACATTTCATATAAATGGAATTATACAATATGTGGTCTTTTCTATATGGCTTCTTTTACTTAGCACAGTTTCTTAATAGAGTTTTTAAAGGACAGTTTTAGATTTATAGAAACATTGAACAGATAGAGAGTTCCCAGATACTCTCTCCCCAACATACTGCTTTCCCTATTAACACCTTGCATTAGCATTACACTTGTACAACGCTGACATATTATTATCAAAATCCATAGCTTACACTAGGGTTCACTCTTAGTGTTGTACAATTACATGAATTTTGACAAATGTATAGTGTCATGTATTCACTTACAGAATCATACAGAATAGTTTCACCACCCTAAAAATTCCCCGTGTTCTGCCTATTTATTCCTCTCCTCCTCTCTAAGTCCCTGGCAATTACTAATCTTTTTAACTGTCTCCATAGTTTTGCCTTTGCCAGGATGTCATATAGTTGAAATCATAGAGTATGTAGTCTTTTCAGGTTGGCTTCCTTTACTTAGCAATATGCATTTAAAATTTCTCCATTTCTTTTCATGGCCTGATAGCTCAGTTTAAAAAATTTCAGCTTTATTGAGGTATAACTGACATAAAATTGTAAGATTTAAAGTGTATGTTGTGGCAATTTGATACACATATACATTGTGAAAGGAGTGCCCCCATCTAATTAATTAACACACCTATCACCTCACATATTTATCTTTTTTGGTGAGAATATTTAAGTTCTATCCTCTTAGCTTATTTCAATTATACAGTACAGGATAGCTCATCTGCTTATTGCTGAATAACATTCCATTGTATAGATATAACACAGTTTCCTTATCCATTTACCATTGATAGATATCTTGGCCGCTTCTAAATTTTGGCAGTTATGAAAAAAGTTTTCTATAAACATTTGTGTACAGGTTTTGTATGGACATACGTTTTCAACACAATTGGGTAAATACCCATGAGCATGATTGCTGAGCATAATACTTTTGAGGCTCAATCATTTTGCTGTATGTATCAGTATTTCATTCCTTTTTAAATCCTTGAATAGTATTCCAGTATTTGAGTATACAATATTTTGTTTATTCATGCATTCGTTGATGGAAATTTGGGTTGTTCTTACTTTCTGGTTATTATGAACAACCAAATAGAATAAAACAAAATAGATGTGCTGTGAACATTTAGATTGTAAGTCTTTGTGTAGACATATGTTTTTATTTCTATAGGAGTGGAATTGGTGGGATGTATGAAAAGTTTAACATCTCAAGAAACTGTTAAACTGTTCTCCAAAGTGTCTCTACCAGTCTACATTCCTACCAGAAATGTATTAGGGTTTCTGTTCCTCAACATCCTTGCCCACATTTACCATCTATCTTTTATTACAGCCATTCTAGTGGGTGTGTAGTTGTATCTCACTGTAGTTTGCATTTCTGTATGATTAACGATATTGAGCATCTTCTTGTGTGCTTTTTATTTTTATTTTTATTTTTTTTTATTATTTCTAGGAGAGGGAGAGAGACAGCGTGAGTAGGGGAGGGTCAGAGAGAGGGAGTCACAGACTGAAACAGGCTCCAGGCTCTGGGCTGGCAGTCAGCACAGAGCCCGACGCGGGGCTCAAACCCATGAACGTGAGATCATGACCTAAGCGAAAGTCGGACGCTTAACCGACTAAGCCACCCAGGCACCCCACTTCTTGTGTGCTTTTTAATGATTCATATATTGTCTTTGGTGAATTGTAAGACTTGTATATTCTGGATACAAGTTCTTTATCAGATATGTACTTTGCAAATATTTTCTCCCAGCTTATGAGTTGTCTTTTTATTTTCATAATGATGTCTCTTGAAGTACAAAAGTTTTTAATTTTGATAAAATTTTGTTGA